GGAACCCAAGGCAGTAAGACCTGAAGGAGAAAAATAAATCAAAAGCTTTTTCACTTGTATCTCAGGAAATAAACATTACGGGAATGTTATCTTCCAGTTATTTTATCTGTTTGATACCTGGATGTTTGAACACTGAGTTTGCATGAGGTGTCACTCCAGCAACTTGTTCTCATGCTTCAAAGAAAAGACAATAATGTTGATTTATATGTGTAAACAGGTCTTTTATCAGTACATTCCTAAATGTCTTGTGAACTGATTTAGAAACTGTTCACAATATTTTCCAGGGTAAATTTATTTTCCTTTGTAGCTCATTCTCAAGATACATATATATTTTTTAGAAATATAACACATACTTTTGTGTTTTATTCCTCAGGTCAGTAGTAAGCAATACTAACCTGCATCAAATATATGGTTAAATCACTGTAAAAGCACCAATACGCAAGCCTAGCTCTGTCAAAATCTCAGTGTGAAAAGCCATCATGAAAATAGAAGTAGTAAAGAAGATCTCAGACAAAAATACTTGTCTGATTTGTTTTTTCACAGTCTGATAAAATTTGCTCATTTATTTTCGTGTTGCATAGGAATTATTGCAACATAAAAGGGGCTCTTTTCAGAAAACACTTTTGCAGTAAGGAAGATCTGTAATAAAGATAATATATCCATATCTCAAGTTTTTATTGACTTGTGGATCAACAACCTACAGATCTGATGAAGGTTCTTACTGCCTACCTATGCATTTTAAATATGAAAAGTTTGAAATCATTCAGCTAGGAGAATGCAGTTTTGTTTTATATCCTGCAAAACGTGGAGACTTCAAAGTTGAAATCTTTCTCTTGTGGACATCCATTAATATATTTGGAGGAAATGCAACTTCAGTAACAAAAAGAGGTTATATTACTGAATAGTTGCACAATAGGAGAGGATCTGTAGATAGAAAATGTTGGTGCTGACACCAGATGCAAAGGTTTATTTCAGCTCCATCTGTTCCTGTGGACTGAATACCCATTAATGACTGGAAAAATGTTCCATCAAGAATTTAAGTTATTTCTTCTGAGATAACCCCCTGGTATTAACTACAGAATAGGAAACAGACATGCTAAAAAGCTTGATGCTGATCCAGCCTAAAATATTAAAGGCTACATAACCTTCAGCTTCATGAAAGTCAAAAGGTTCATCTTTTTTTTTTTTGGGAAACTTGGAGGATTTTATATTCAGGTCTGTTATTTACACATAGCCATAAAATCACTGTGGAAGAAAGAATGCACAAAAGGTTCCTTTCAAATTCTGATTTTTTTTTGTTTGTTTGTTTGTTTGGGTTTTTTCCCTTGAAATAATCTAGAGCTTCATTTTTAGAATGCGTGATTTTTCAATTTTTATTGCCTTCCAGTATTCACTCATTGAACCCCAGTGAAAAAAAAGAAAAAAAGGAAAACTGGAAATGTTTGAAGATTGTGTTTGAGACTTGGAATTTTCTAGCATTCCAGACCTGTCAAAAAAGTCAAGTAGAATATTATTTTACAATATAGCAATTATGTTATTGTTTCATTAGAGTCAACAAAATGAATTACAAGGTATGGCAAATACAAGAAGAAAAATTAAAACTCTCAAAGCAGTCATTCCATGAAGCAATCATGCCATGCCTTTGCAAATTACACCTGTTTATCAGAAGCAGTGTGAGAGTCTAAATAATAGACAATTTTTATTTAAAAATATTTTTCATTTCTTAAACTGATATATCTTATTATTTGTGTATAAGATATAGTAAGTTAAGAAGGTTTTGAGAATCTATCCCATAGATACTCTATAGGTAGAACAAGTGAACAAAATATTAGAGACCTGACCTGCAGAGAAATAAGGAACGTGAGAAGAACAGTAATTCTGTGAAGTCTTTAGAATCAAGAAATTTTTGTATCTTACGGAACTCTGAGTTGTGGATGAGGTCCCATATATACACACTTATATATATAAAAATTATAATCCAATAAATGTTAAATTCATGTTTCAGTTGACCACTCAGTGGAAAATAAAGTTTCTCTAAAAAAAAAAAAAAATCAAACCAACAAAACCCAAAAAAACTCAACAATTTTAGTCAAAACATAGACTACCTATAGGACAATTGTAACTAAATTTTACTACACAGTGTTCACCTGGAAAAACCGGTCAAGCTCTATTGTTCTTATTTTGTCTACACAATTTCAATTTTACTTTACAAATCCTGTGTGATCTCTGGGTCTATGAGAACCTGAATTTTAGGATTTCCATGTTAAAAGGGAGCAAGTCTGTTGAAAGTCTGCCTTGTGTCATTGTCACTATAACACAAAGCATTTTGCTTTTAATGCTCATCTTTCATGGAAAAATTCTGTTTTCTTTTCTCCAGAATTTAGTCTTGACACACACTCTCTAAGGAACTTTAAATCTTATTAAATATGTGTTGTACAAAAAAAATCAGGTTCGTGTTACACCAGAATTTTATGATTTTGTATATAATATGCAACAGGGAGACACTTCTTTACTTTCAAGACCAAGAATTAATATGTAAAAGTAACAATTTGAAAAAAATTAGATTTCACTATGATCAATAAATTAATGACGGAACGGTTTAGCTTAAAGAGAGTGTCTTTAACAACCTACCATTTCTAATTGGGTTGGATGATAATTAAAATTCTCTTGAAAAATATTTTGGAGTTTCTCTAGTAGAATTAGAAAAAAAGTATTTATTTTCTTCATATGGATTATTGTTATTTTCAGTTTCATTAGTTTCAGTAATTGTTACTATAGTGTCAGTTGTAAATATAGGTGGCTGACTGATTGGAAAAAGAAAATGTGGCTATTAAACACTGTTAAGTGCATGAAACAAACAGTTTGTGCAATTTTGCAATTTAGGGTTACAGGAAGAAACTTGTGAATAAATTAGATTGTATTATTGAACAGTGACTGTGTGAGGAACAGTGATACTCCTGTGTTGCTTTTCCTTTAATTATTTAAAATTCCTATGATTCAGTTGAAGAGCAATAATTGATAAATTGGAAGAATCAAAGGATGCATAAAATTCATAAAGTGGGCAGATAATTTGGTGTTGTATAGGATGGTGATGGTTACAGAAGAAAATCATTCTCAGCTTCATCAGTCTCATATTACAATCTTCTTTCAAAGGTCAGGAACAGATTGAGGCCTTCAGTGATAATGTACTATTCCTTGATTGATCCAGGTACTTGCCAGCCAAGGATTGAACTCGTGATATATGTGATCCATAAGGTCTGGGTTTTTAAATGGCTGGACACCATAAAAGCATTAAGCAAACTAATGTACTTCTTAGTGAGCTCTTTTGAAATATGTCTAGATTAATTGGGTCTTATTTAAGAGAAAAATTATTAAAAATTTTGATTACTTAGTTTGGCAGAATTTTATACACTTTTCCTCCTCACTAGCAAGGCAAATGAGTGTGAAAGTTTTCCTGTATTTTTGTAAGCTCTTTATTCTAGAAACATATTATGTCTTTTAATAATTTCATTTTTCACCCTGTCATTTTTGAGTGGAAAAATTTCAGATTTACCAGTCCCCCCCTAGATCAATGCCAGTCATTATTTACATGAAATCTCATACTTTTATATAACCTTGCTAATTTAGACAGCTTTGTAAATCTGGAAGCATTGCCTTCTCCTCCCTCGTTCCCTCCTTTCCTCTTTCCCTCCTTCCCTCCTTCCTTCCTTCTTCCTTTCTTTCTTCCTTCTTCCTTCCTTCTTTAGTTAAAATCTTCAAGCTTAGTTTTATCAATAATTTTTATTCTGAGCTTTTTGAAATTGATGATTCAATATAAATTTTCTGTATTTCTTTTGTAGTCTGCTGTCTTTTAAGACACTAAATACAAACCATTATTTTACATTTTGCAAGACTGTCATTAGCTCTGTCCTCCACATAAAATGATTATGACCAGCTTAACCTTTGTCCTATGTTAACAGAAATAAACAAGTGGGAAAAATGTAGCCTTTTCTGCAAAAAAAATACTTTTTTTTTTTCTTCATCTGAATTTAATTAAACCTAAAGCAGAACCTCTCATTCAGGAAAGAGAGTAATATAAATTATGATTTGAATTGTATCAAATGAGATTTATTTACAATAAGTATTTCACTGTCTACACTAACAGCTTGAATTCATGCAGTAAATCTCAATTAGCTCCTCCAAAGTTGGATGATTTAATTAAGATTAACATTCATTACATGTAAATCTATTATATATCTAGTTAATTGTTTTAGTGTAAAATTATAAGTTTTGTCAACAAAACAACCAAACTGTGAGAGCTGGAAACATAAGTTGTTGGAGTTTGTTCATTTAATACAGGGTTGTGGTTTTTTCATGACAAAGACCTATTTGTAAGAAGATAATCTCTGTGAGTAAGAACATCTAGAGCTTGTCAGTGCCCTATTCTATTTATCTACATGCTCTGAAACAAACAGGATAAAATTGTTGAAGCACAAACTGCAGCATCTATCTTCTTGTTTAACTAATGAATACAGGGATGATATTCTGAAAAAAAAGCTATGTCATTTTGGGCACTTCTGTTCTTGCAAACTAATGGAATTCTTTGAGGTAATAGTGAGAGTCTGAAGGAGAATATCCAGCTATTCTAAATCTACTTAGAATTTTCAAAATGTTTGACATCTATTATCAACTGAGAATGTTTGAGAGTGCTTTCTTCTTCATTGTCCCTGTCAATGACTAATATAATTTAGACGTAGATGTGTGCATGTGTTTATATATACACACACATATAATATATTACATATATAAACATAAATAAATATATAATGTATAAAAATATAAATAAATATGTAATGTGCTTTTAATTTCTTTTTCTCTCTCTATTCCTGCTGGACAGCAACATATCCCTGAGCCAGTAGTGGGTCCTGGGGGCAAAAATCAATGAGATCCTGGAATACATTGGGAAGAGCATTTCCAGCAGGTCGTAATCTCACCCCCTTGCTCAGCCCTGGTGAGACACATCTGCCCTGCTGTGTCCAGCTCTGGGCTCCTCAGGACAGGAAGGACATGTAGTTCCTGGAGCAGGTCCAGCAGAGGCTGTGGAGATGCTGAAGGGACTGGAGCATCTCTGAGACAAGGAAAGGCTGAGGGAGCTGGGGCTGTTCAGCCTCCAGAGGAGATACTGAGAGGGGACCTCCCCAGTGTCTGCCAGTGTCTGCAGGGAGGGGACAAAGGATTGGACCAGGCTCTGCTCGGGGAGCACAGCAATGGGACAAGAGGAATGGGGATGAACTGATGCCCAGGAAGTTCCATCTGGACATGAGGAAGAACTTTTTTGCTGTGCAGTGATCAACCACTGAACAGAGACAATAGAGGATGTGAAGCCTCCCTTACTGGGGATATTCCAGAGTCATTTGGATGCAATCCTGTGCCATGTGCTCTGGGATGACCCTGCTGGAGCAGGGAGTTGGGACCAATGAACCCCTGTGGTCTTTTCCAGCCTTAACCAGTCTGTGATTCTGTGATTCTGTATTAAGCCATATTGGCCTCAGAAGGAAAATACCTGGAATAATTTGCTTCTTAGGGGCCTACTGCTGGATATCAAAGTTCTGATTTGAACCTGGAGGTCCAGGCAGTTTTCTTTCCACTAGAGAGTTTGACTTCTCAGTCCATATCTCCACTACCTCCAAGTAACAATACCCTGGGAGAGCATTAAAGACATTATTAATCATGGTACCTTTGTACTACTGCTGTTCATCATCAGAATCTCTTGCAATCAGTGTGGTCATGATTGATTTATTACTGGCAAATCTGTATTGACTATTTCTGTTTATCTAATTTCCTAATGATTTTGGAATTTGACTAAAAAAAACATAGTTGGGATGCTTTGAGAACTGAGATTAACTAGACCACAATTCCTCAAACACTTTTGCTTGCTCTCCTAAAGATACCATCTTCAGCCATCAGGGTCCTCTTCTCAATATATGACATCTCTCAGGGCATAATGGCCTTGCTCTTTCAAGTGAAACCCACCTGCCCATATAAATTCTGGACAAAGTTTCTGTACAGTTTCTAATCCAGTAGATAACCTATGACAATTCTGATATAATGCTCATATAGTTGTTTTTTGCCTTACTCTTCTGAGTTTCTCTCCATTATAATTATTATATGTATTTGTATATATATGTATGCTCACATTTTAAAGCCCTCTCACTTTTGCTTAAAACCATTTTTTTTAACAAATAGACTTTCTGTCATTTAGCAAGAAATACCCAATTCCTGCTGAATGATTATAATCCTTCAAAAATAAAAATTCAGTTTTATTTGTTAAACATACACACTGCTACTAGGTCAGAAGAACACTTCACAATTGTAGCAGAGATTGTTGGGCTTTCAGAACTTTTATTCAGTTAATAGAAGACAAAAGTCGAGATTGAGGAAAATACTGAGCAGGCAACTGTCTTTGAATATGTTGCTGCTTGGCGCATTGAAGAAAGCACTATTTAAGCAAGATTTTTAGACATGAATATGGAAAAGAAAGTGAATTGTTATTCCCTCACAATGGAAATTCTGTTCCCAGCAGCCACTTTTGTATTAACTGAAGTTGTTGGGGTGAAATTGCAAAATCTGTTTTGTTTGAATGAACAGTTTGAATGAACAACCACTCTTAAATATCACAAGAAAGCTATGTAAGAAATTCTCGCAGCTGCTTTTTTTTTTTTTTTCTTTTTTTTTTTTAATGCAGTGGGACAATAAAAGGACATATAAAGGCCATGCCTGACTGAACCAAGTGCCTTCATGTCTATAAAGTTTGGGAGGGCCTTTTTGTCTATAAAGTTTGGGAGACTATATTTCTGAGAGTAACCGGGGGAAAGGAAGTCAGGCAACACATATCCTATAACACAGAAGATGTCTCTGCTCAGATTTGAGATACAGACATTATGGAAAGTGTTTCAAGGATGCAATAAACATGACATTCTTCACTTTAAAGGAGACTATTTCTTTCCAAGGTAAGTTGAAGAAGTCAGTCCATGGTGGGTGGGGGAGAATAGGAGACAAGACAGAGAGAGAAAGAGAGAGGGAAAGAGAGAGATTTTATGTTCCCTTTTTACTGTTTTTTTTTTTCCACTGCTATGACATTTTCAGAAAATCAAATCTGGGGAATGATGACCTATGAGTCCAAAATTCTAAGCCTAAACATTGAAAATATTTTAATTTGTTATTATTTTAATTCTGCTATAGAAATCAAGCTTCCTTGCTGAAGGCCAAAATAATTCCTCACATTGTTTGTTTGTTTGGATGTCTCCTCCTCACTCAATCAGATTTTCTCTGCTCATAAAAAAAGACTGTTTTCTGTGTATATTGGATAAAAAAACACAATAACTTGCTCATCTTTGGAATTCGGTTGATGTCAAAGGGCTCAGAAAGGCTTCTCCATATTTCTAAATCACAGGCTGACGTCGGGACTAAAAAGTCATCACGTTTATATAATTTTCTGTTGTGTTCATGTCCTTGACACAGGATTTCAGGTGTTCTTCTCTAGAAAACCTCTGCCCTCTCATCTCTGATATTTTGGGGCAGGCTGTGTTGCATTTCCTATACCTCTCTTACACAGTTATTAAGGGCTTAAGCTTTCATAGAAGTTTAATGATCATTAGTCCTTTATTTTTTTGATTCATCTCTCACTTAGCAACAAATGATATAAATGTCAGTTCCATACTAAAGCATAGCAATGTGATGTCAGCCTGTTCCTTATGAGTCTTACTGAGAATTCTGGTCACAATTTATGTCCCTGACAGCATCAGTCTTTCAAGTGAAACCCTGCAAATGGTACACCTGTGTTATTTATGATTTTCAGCAGATAACTGATTATGAGTGTGATGAAAGATGTGGAGCTTTTTTGAAGTAACACTTGAGTAAATTTGCAGGAACATTATTTATTAAAGATGTAGTTCAGCAACTCCCTGATTCTTCCTCTGTGACCAAATTATGTTTGATGGAATATTTAGAGGATCATCATGAAGATTGTTAGGGATAGTTAATTGTCTGGAATGCTACAGAACTTTCTCAGAGGCTTCAAAAAATAATGTAATTTTTCTTTCCACTGTGAATGAGAACAATTGTTCTTTTTTTTTTCTGTTCATAAAATGAATAGGAACTCTCAGATGAAACCATATATTTCAAGCAGAAAGCAAAAGCCCTTCCTTGGATTCAGCATTTCCTCAACCTTCAGATTTTATGAGCAGTGTTAAATATTAAAATTTTGAATTTGAGGAAAAAATTAGTTTTAAATGTTTAGGGCATTTTAATGATCACAGAATGCCATCAGTTCTAGGTGGAGTTGTACTAGATGTGTTAGGTAATCTAGAAGTGCAATGAGAAAAAAATACTTGCCTTTTTTTTTTTTTTAACTCCTAAGCACAAGCTTCTTGTCTGAATATTGGTCTTATTAAAAATCAAGGTAGTGTTTTATACCTTTTCAGCTATCTTTGTTTTAATAAAACTATGAAAAAATTTTGTCACCTGCAGCTCTAGGCTGCAATATTTTGATGAACCTTAGAAGTGCTATGTATACAAAATATGACCAAAAAACCCCCCAAAACAACAATAGAAAAAATCGTAAACAAACATTTCCCCTAAAACAAACAAACAAACAAAATATGATGAAAAACACCCCACCTTAGTTTTGATGCTTATTCCATATTTGAGTCTTTTGCCCTATGAAAGTGATTCTCCTCTATATATAGGAAAATTACTGCCTACAAATAGGGAGAATTCAAGAAAGTGAAGTGATTTTCTCCTACCAATTAAGTAGAAGAAAAAATGTTCTATGAGAGCTGTAGAGTCCTGAAACTTTAATTGAAGAGACCAGAACTCTTGCTCCATCTTACTAAAGATATTGACACCCCATTCCCCTTAATTTCAACATAAATAAATGTGAAAAAACAGTGCATAGATAACTGCAGCCACAGAGCTCTGCTCTGAGCTGCTCATTGAACCTTTCTGAAGGCACTAATTTTTTTTGTTAGTTAGACCATTATAAAAGCTACTTCACACGTAAACCTTAAGTAGTTTGTCTGAAAAAAATAAAATCCCTCAGATTTAATTGGGGATGCTTTTTACACCAAATCGCTTTGTGTCAGAAATTAATTAATCCTAAAACTTTTGTAGAAGCATCATTATTGCTTTAAGTTTGCAATTGCCTGGGACAGGGTAACGAGTTCAAGGAAGAGGGAAAGGAACATTTTTACACTTTTTTAAACTTGATGAACTAATGTGCAACCTGAAGTCTTGGTTATTAGACTCAGGGATGTTGCTGTGAATGCGAATGGTTCAATGAACCCATTACTAGTTATATATGTATTTGTATACGACAGACATCAGTGTATGTATGTTCATCAGTCCTATAGCTCTAAAACCAGAACAATCTGTATTTTCTTGCAAATTACTTATATATAAGTTCTAGCAGACAAGCCTGACAGATTTGTTGATTATATTCAAGAAATGGGTATGTAAAATATTTTACTTAATGTGAAAACTTTATTAAATTGAATTTTAGAATTCAAACTGCCTGTTTTTGCAACATTTAAAAATGTTCATGCTGATGACCAAGACAAATTAGACAAACTGTCACCTTTCCTCTGTTGTGCCACTCTGCCTTTATTTCTACGGTGTAGGTGTGGGGTTTTTTTAATTTGTTTTGATTGTTTGTTTGTTTTTTCCATTTTGATGTAGTATGAGAAAAAAAAATTTGAAGTTTAATTTCTCTGTTCTAATAACTCCTGCAGACAATTATAGCTATATTGAAATATAATCTTAATTAAAATATAATCTTAATATACTATATTAAAGACTTGGGGATAAGTTTCTTGAAATCAGAGTTGATAATAACATCTCAATGTCTTGACTGAGGAAAAAGGGTAATTATTTTCACTGAAGCATTTCTTAGCTCTGAGGGGATTTCTTCCATATCTTTCTTTCCACACCATCTCCTCTCTAAGATACACCGTACCCAGTCTTGGTGTCACTCCA